GCCAGCCTGGCTCCCCACTGCCTCCTCAGCAAGCAGAGCCGCCTGCTCAATGGGGTCACTCGGGGCAGCCGCGCCACCTCCCCCATGGGCCGCGTCATCCTCATCAACACCCCCATTGAAGGTGCGTGGGGTATCGCAGCCCTCTCCCCACCTGCATGTCCAGGGAGCGGGGCCAGATGCCTGGGTTCCCCGAATCTAGGGGCAGGGAGAGTTGTACTGGGACTGGGGACATCCCCCGCGAGGGAGACACGCTCCCTGTTGCTCACACCCAGTCTGAGTGACGCATCCTGTCTCCACAGCCAGCAGCAATGAGAGTGACATCATCAACGCCATCACGGTGGAGAAGAGTGTGGACGGCAAGCTGGGCTTCAGCGTCCGTGGCGGCTCCGAGCACGGGCTGGGCATCTTTGTCAGCAAAGTGGAGGAGGGCAGCGCCGCTGGTAAGTGGGACAGGGTGAGGGATGCTGGTGGTGAGAGGCGCATGCCACCAAGACCCTCTCGGGTAGCTCCTAGTGACATGATGCAATGATGCCACTCTTCATTGTGGCAAGCCACCATTTGCTCCCTGGTGCCTCTGGCTGTGGGGTTTTCAAGCTTCCCACAGAGGGCAGGGGACAGGAGTGGGCAGCCCAGTGCCAATGGCTCTGAGGTCTGTCTCCAAGCCACAGTGAGGTGACAAGCCTCCCCATACCTGCCACAGCCTTGGTGTGATTGTTGGGCATCCCCACCTCTGTTCCCATGGGGTTCAGATCAGGTTGAGGACACATTTAAGGAGGGGACGCCAAACAAGGGCATTGGTGCCAGGTCAGGTGCCTAGCAGAGCCATGTGACCCTTGCAGAGCAGGCTGGGCTGTGTGTTGGTGACAAGATCACGGAAGTGAACAGTGTGAGCCTGGAGAACATCACCATGAGCAGTGCTGTCAAGGTCCTCACTGGCAACAACCGCCTCCGCATGGTGGTCCGGCGGATGGGCCGTGTGCCAGGCATCAAGTTCTCCAAGGAGAAGACAGCGTGGTGAGCAGGGTGCCCCGCCATGTTGGTATCCCAAAGCCCAGCTCCATGGAGGACGCGGTGGGGAGGCTTGCTGGGGGATGCTGGGGGACCCCCAGGGTGGGGAGGCATCAGAGGTCTCCAATGAAGGTGTGGAGAGCCTGAGGTGGGGAGCAGGATGGGAGCAGACAGGGTGGGTGCAAGCCCCATCCTCACTACCCTCCATCACCATCACTCTTGTCTGCTGGGTGACACCAATGTCCCCATCTCACTGGAGAACGGACGCCAGACCCCTGAGTCCTCCCCAATACTGTGTCTATGCCCCAGGGTGGATGTGGTGAACAGGCGCCTGGTTGTGGAGAAAAGTGGCTCAACACCATCGGAGAGTGGCTCCGACGACGGACTGCGGCGCATCGTCCACCTCTACACCACCTCTGACGACTACTGCCTGGGCTTCAACATCCGCGGTGGCAGGGAGTTCGGCCTCGGCATCTACGTCTCCAAGTATGGCCGTCCCGGGGGGCATCAGGGGGATGCGGCACCCTGATCCCCGCTGTGCCCATGCTAGGGGCATGGCACACCCTCCCTGCCTGAGCCCCCACCCTCACAAGTCTAGGGGCATCACCACCACGGGTGTTGGGACATGGGGCTGCCTGGGCGGAAGTGTGGGGCAGGAGCAGGGCTCTGGCAAGGGCTTGGTCCCATCCTGTCCCCCCTCCCTGCTGTCCTAGGGTGGACCCTGGGGGGCTGGCAGAGCAGAATGGCATTCGGGTGGGAGACCAAGTCCTTGCAGCCAATGGAGTCAAGTTTGAAGACATAAGCCATAGCAAGGCAGTGGAGGTGCTCAAGGGGCAGACTCACATCATGCTCACCATCAAGGTACCTGTGCCCAGCCCCGTGGCACCCCCAGGCGATGCAAAGGGTTAGCATGTCCCCGTGCTGGCGCTGCCCCAGCTCGGCCTGGCGCCTGCAGGGCTGGCGCAGCCACCGGCTGGTTGGGTTTCAGGTGGGTGGGATGCATTATTCATGGCTGGCACCGGATC